AACAAAAAAACTAACCCACCTGGTGGATGATGGCACAAGCTTCCAAGAAAATTCTATTACAGTGAACCACATTATTTAAATGGATTTCTTCGCCAGTTAGACGTCTGTCACTTCGTTTGTGGCTGGTACTCTCTTCGGTTCCAAGCTAATCGATGCATCCCTCGAAAATTAGGAAAATCCATGAATCCTTCATTTTATCTGTCAAACTTTCATAACGAATCAAAACAAACATAGTGTAGTACTAGAATTTCTACTAGAATGGGATTGGCGTTGACGGCGACTTTGTAGCTCTTTACTCAAATAGTAAAATCCATAAGCAAACGTCAGACTGTGCGTGAAACATTGCGAAATTCCATGAGAAACTGTCAATCTTTTCTAGAAGAGTTAAGTTTTCGACGGTGCCGTCAACGCCAGTCAAGTAGTGAGCTAATTTAAAACCGTTAGTTTCCACCGGTTGGTGGTAGTGTTTTAGTGACGATGTTTTACAGTGAAAAATATTCAATGCGTTATATCTGTTTGTCTGGTGACCCGCAAAATATTGCTTCACGCACCATCTAGCGTTGAAAAAGGTCAGCAACAATCATTCAATTACAATCGAGAGGTGCGAATATAGCACTTATTACAAAAGTAAGAGTCAAATTATTTTCATTAATTACATTGTGTATGTTACTTTAAAATTTGTCTGACATGTCACTGTTGTCATCAAATAAAATAAAATGCTGAAATATATTCATTTTAAATATTAAACAATTTTTCATTTGGTTTACCCCTCGTGACGATAAAAAAATACATTGGTAGCCTTTTTGGCCACAGAGGTGCTTTCATAGCTAAAAATTCGGTTCGCCAACTGAGTGAAAGCACAAACGAAGTGACAGACGACTAACTGGCGAAGAAATCCATTAAAATAATGTGGTTCACTGTAATAGAATTTTCTTGGAAGCTTGTGCCATCATCCACCAGATGGGTTAGTTTTTTTGTTTTGTTTTGAACAAAGTTGATTTTGTGTACAATGATTCTTTGACAGTGTGCAAAGAGTGCGTATCATTTTGTCATTTTTTTATGCATTTCAGTTTTGAGTAGAGTGAAAGAGATAGAACCAAAATATTCTAGTACATTTGGTGAAAATGCTAGTTCAATCCAATAGTAGTGTTGCCATGTTGTACAATCCAGTAGTAGTGGTGTTGAAATGTGGTACACTGAAAAATTGCAATAGCAGGTTAGTCACCAAAGTTTTCGAGCCGCTCCGTCTGTCACTTCGTTTGTGGTGAAAGAGTGAATATAATATATTTGATAAAATGTACAGAGGGATGGCTAGATTATGCATAGGGTTTCTAGCTGGTAATCGAAGCTAAGGATCATAGTCGATTAATATATGACTAGCACTGTATTTAACCTTGGTCCTGGGCCAAGTTAAGGTCCACAAATAACAGATGCTTTGTCAATTTAATTTATGCTTTATTCAAAATCTGAATTTATTCACCTATGGTGAGATTTGAACCTTCTTAATCATTTAAATTTCTACGAAATGAAGAACGTTTTTTTTTTCATTCGACAGCCATTACTCGTATTCATCGGACGTGTGCTCTTTCTGCTCTGCTTAACTTGGTGAAATATTGTAGCGAAAATGAGTGTAGTTCGTAAAAACACACTTGTTGTTGACTTCAGTGTCCTTCCAGTTCGTCCCAATGCGGGAAAAGTGCAAAAATTCTTCGAGAACAATATAAGGCTTCAATATTCGGACGTTAGATGCATTCAGTTTCATAACGTCCGAAATTGTGTTTTTATTGAGATGATAGACAATGAAGTGGCCTTGCGCTATGAAAAGGCGCACAACTATAAACACGCGATTCTCTGTGCGAAGAGTGAGTTCAAAATCCCGATATATGTGGATTGTGAAGCAGCCAACAAAAGCAGCCAACGACATCAGGTCAATCATCTCCTGCTTTCACCGGGTTCTCAGCAGAAGAACAACAGCGAAACACCGAGGATCATCACACTTCAAACGTTGAAAGCAACGACGAAAATTCTAGCACCAGCTCATCAAACGCAACAAAGGATCAAATTGAAAATACCAACAAACGCCGGCTGTCGAAACACAAGGAAAACGAAAAAAAGAAAGTTCGTGCTGATCAGTGCACCCAGAAGACTGGTCAGCAAACAGATCGTTTAGATGATAATAATGCAACTTATCAAATAGGGAATAATACGTTTTATTTGAAAAATAAAAGCGGGAAGGGTTCTAATTGTTAATAATGCTCATCGGCCCAAGCAATGCCTAATAGGCGAGGGGGCCTTATAAACAAACGCAAAAAAAAAGAACGTTTTTTGCTTGCATCATTTCTACACCGTTATCCAAATGGGAGCGGGGTACCCGGGTACCCCGTCGCGCACACAACATAGCAAGACGAATTTAATGGGGGTATGTCGAAGTGAAGTGAGGCCATAAATGGTGCTACACCCTACTGCTATATGCCACAACGAGACATGAACATATTGGTCTATTCTGCGCGGCGTGTGAGGTGAGGTGACAGTGAAGTGACTGACCCGAAGTGCTGGTGGCTCTCCGCCGCTAATTATACCATGACAGTTCATATTCAAATCAACCGTTATTTGTTTTAATTCTATTCTCGATGAACATTTCAATAGGTCCTACCTGCTTTGATCGATTCTCTTAATCGACTTTCTCTTTTGATAACCACTGATATGTAAACACATTTTGCACTATTTTTACCACATAGTTCGATAAAGCAGGTTATTATCTAGCGTCCAAAACGTCAAATACAACAGGGGAAGGTTTTGCAGCTGAGTTGATGAAGATAATCGATCAATGCAGATAGGACCTTTTGAAATGTTTATCTAGTATTATGTTTTCAACAAAATTACTATGCTCCCTATGTAGCATTGTTAATAACATTCATGGTTAAAAAATACTTCAAATTTACCATGTTACCAATATATATGTGAATATGGTCACATCAACAGAAATGCTGTTTGGTTGGAACACAAAACGATTGCTATTTCACTGCCAACCGTGGTAATCGCAGATTATTGCATGATCGCCATTTTGTAGAAAATCATTCGACAAAATAAAATTGGCAGATAAAGTTGAACTACGGAATCATTGCTGTTGAAGAGGTAGAACCCGAGGCAGAACCATTAACGGTAAACAATTTCATTTCAATTAAGGTTTATTCGTGTGGAAGCTGACGAAATACCGGAGCACCAGAATTTTCACATTGAAGATCAGGAGCTGGATCCATCTGTTTATGCCAATTGGTAATCAGTACAATTTTTATAATATTTGATTTTCAACAGGCTTTGAACGATATGGAATAACGGACACAAACATGCACATTGATAAATCGCCTTCCCGCAATCCTGCAAAGTCTCTGCCGAGATCTTCGGATCAAACCATCTCCATTTCTCAACCAGGACCTATTCAGGGTGGTAAGCTCCAAACGATATTATCCTCGGATTAAATCTCGTTCAAGAATGTCCGACTGCTTTGATGCTGACGTCAGAGTTTTTTTTAAATTATAGCCACTTAACGCTCTTGGGTCATTCGTGACTTGTCTGGGGGTGAGATTTGAACTCGTGACTTTGGCGACTAACCATCCGTAATCTATCAGTTTTAAGTTGCTAAAACAAGCAGTCTACTGACAAAAAGTGAAAAACCTAAACTTGAACGAACAATCGTACCAACCACCCATAAATTGAACAATAAGAAAGAGGCCATCTATATACCACGTGGACAGAAACAGTATGATTCTCTCCCTTAATTTGATGGTTTGGGTTTTGGCTGAAGTCATTTGCCAAAAATGGAATAATTTTCTGTCTCATAATATTTTTTATATGTGTTGAGAGTACTTAGCAGAAAGAAGCTTGATTCAGTATAAAATTGTGTGTTTCATTCTCTATTATTCACCCAGCCAGTTGAACAAATATATTTGTGTATAATTTGATAAAATCTCATGCGGAGCATTGCAATGGTATCAGCCGCCGTATGACATTCAGGTCTTCCTCATCGCTATGTTTGTGCACAACACACAGGGGATCTGTGTACGCGTGTGAGTTGTTTTCAAGTGAGCCGTAGTCGGCGATCATCATTTTTTTTAAATTTGGTTAAGGGGATGCTCTGCCCGATTCGTACCTTCCACAAAATTGTCCTTTGCTCGCTTTCTACTTTCTATATACAATTTTCACACTGCCATACTATAACGGAACTATCAACTCTATACTTTCATCTCCTCATCTATCGTATAAAATGACCACTTTATGTCTGATATTTGACGTTCAACATCTCCAACTATACTTACTATGATGTTAGGGGGGTGATTTACCGTAAAATCTTCAAGTGTCTTACAATGGAAGGCGGGGGTCGGTCTATAACTCTAAAACCCATAAATAATTTGTGAATGACTCCTTAGTTTTCTTTTTTTATGGCTTAATTGGTAACGGGACCGAATCCAACGATTCATTCCGTTAAATCCAGATTGATGTCTTCCGAATCAGTAGACAAACCGTTTTAGCGAGCTAGATTTGGAGTTGCCGGCTTACCCCGTCTGGTCTTAGTGAATTTAAATAACGACTGAATAAACACAATGGAATTGAAGGAAAATACATGTTTTTGAACACAATATAGTAATATTTTATTTTATTCTATGTTACAATCCTTAACATTATTGTTTGTTTGTGATTATGATAAATGCTGTTTTCGAATGCTTCATAAACAGTCGCCTCTATCCGAATTTTTATTTAGAGTATTTTAAATGCTGTAAAGCTATTCAAATAATAATTTGACATTCAAAAAGCCAAAGTAAGAAAAAAGCGCGATAACAATAATGAAAATGATATTTAGAAGGTGTGTATGTTACACCCGAAGCAAAACAAGGTAGAATATGAAATACCTGATTGCATGCCCTGTCATCCCCCGTTAAGGTGAACTAACTAATCGAGTTTACGATTTGGATTAGTGGGAACCTAAATGTCAGTCAACGGTCAAACAAAATTATAGAGCAGATTTGTTTTTGAACAATTAAGAATACTATCACTTGAAAACGATTTGTCTAATTTGCAACCTCAGAATGAATCATTTTATTTTGTCAAACAAGTAGGTACATTAGTTTTTACTTTTTCATCGATAGTTGTTTCCATGATAGATGATGATTTCTATTCTAAGGTTGCGAACTGTCATTTGTATTGCAAATTAACGTTATATTTGTTTACCTATTCTTCAAACAATTAGCTACGTCATTATAGCAATGATTGGTTATATTTTAGCGTATTTTCACATATAGATGATGCCCTTGACCTTCTAACAAGGCAATCACTTTTATATAACGATATAGCTGTTACCTTCTGATATTTTACATGTATGTTTCTACTTATAAACACTTCTTGTTTACTGTACATTGAACTTTTAGATTGAATTTTAAGCGAAACAATAGATTCTACAGGCGTTTTGTGTTGTAGGTTATTATCTTTACTTGTGAATTTACAATAGTTCTGATATTATTATGATTTTTGTTTTTAATACGTTGTTTTCTCAGAATTTCGTCGGAAGAAACTACAATTATGGAGCCAGATTACACAAATGCTGTTATGCTAGTAGATTTTTTTGTAAGACTATTGTGATTCACGCTTAACGCCGCCTGCAATTGTAATAAGAGTGCAAAAATATGTTAGATTGTTAAGTAAATACAACAAGAGTGAACTGAAGAAAACGAAAAATGATACAGTTTTTTACAGTTATATGCTTATATGATGACTTATAATGATATTTAATGTATGATAAGTATTCTTAATTGTTCTGTACAATCAGCAGCTTTGATTATTAATAGCAGGGTGACAAGTGAATTTCTGATTTTAAATTCCTGGTTTTTTCCCGGTTTTCCTGTTTTCTTCTATACAAATTCCTGGTTTTTGAACAAAGCTTTAAATCTATCAGCAAATTTCCTATAATTCTTCTACATGAGAGAAATGTCTTAAGTATATTATACATGTATTTAGTGAAATACTTCAAATTATATGCTTCATATGCATACTAAACTGGTTTGAAAAGAGTAAAATAATTATTCCATTAAGTAAATTCAACGTTCGCTGAGCTGTGTCAACCCAAAGGGCATTCGCTAACTAAAATGCATATTATGTGTCAAATCAAATAATACAAAATATTGAAAATACAACAGTGCTCATCCGGTTCATGTCAACAAATGCCGATATGTGCAAGGCCTTGGAAGGTAACCTTCTCAGGAACAAGTGTGAGGTGATTGAGAGGTGGAAGCAGTACTATGACGAGCCCCTCAACGGCGATGCAGTATAAAACGAAGGTGGCAAAGCAACAGACCTTGGAGCACGCACAGAAGACGACAGGCTACCGGCCTCTGAGCTTCAAGAAGTTTAGGAGGAGATCGGTCGGCTGAAGAACAACAAAGCAACTGGTGTAGATCAACTACCAAGTGAGCTATTAAAATACGATGGTGAAGCACTGGCTAGAGTGCTGCACTGGGTAATTGCCACGATTTGTACGGATTTCCGGATAAACTGACGCGATTGGCCAAGGCAACGATGGATCGAGTGATGTGCGTTGTTCGAGTATCGGGGACACTCTCGAGTCTCTTTGAATCTCGAAGGGGGTTACGGCAAGGTGATGGACTTTCGTGTCTGCTAATCAACATCGCGTTATAAGGTGTAATCAGAAGAGTTGGGATAGACACGAGTGGCACGATCTTCAGGAAGTCCATCCAGCTTCTTGGCTTCGCCGATGACATCGACATCATGGCACAGAACTTTGAGACGATGGCGGAAACGTACATCAGACTGAAGGCAGAAGCTAGGCGGATTGAACTTGCCATCAACGCATCGAAAACAAAATACATGAGAGAAAGAGTTCAGATTGACGGTGACGAAATCGAGATGGTCGATGAGTTCGTGTATTTGGGATTACTGGTGACCGCCAAAAATGATACCAGCAGAGAAATTCAAAGACGCATCATGGCAGGGAATCGAATAAAATTCGCCGCCGCACGAAGTTGACTATCTACAAGACGCTGATTAGACCGGTGCTCCTCTACGGCCACGAGACCTGAACTATGCTCGTAGAGAATACGAAACGTGGAGGAGGTGAATGAACCACGAATTGCACCAGCTGCTGAGAGAACCATCCCTCGTATATACTGCAAAAATTGGGCGATTACGGTGGGTTGGGCACATCGTAAGAATGCCACACGACGACCCAGTGAAAATGGTTCTCGAAAGCGACCCAACAGAAACAAGAAGAAGAGGTGCGCAGCGGGCAAGGTGGATCGACCAAGTAGAAGGCGACCAGCGAACCCTTCGCAGACTACGAGGCTGGCGAAGTGTGGCCATGGATCGAGTAGAGTGGAGACGACTTCTTCGGACAGCAGAGGACAACAAGACCTTAGCCTGATAGACGAAGCAGTATTGCTTCAATATAGCTTTTGTCGCTATGCTTATTGTGAGTTGCCTTCAACTGATTCGGATTAGCGGCGCCGGTGGTGTAGTGGTAAGCGTGATAACATCTCACCCCAGCAGGCCTGGGTTCAATCCCAGTCGGCGCCGCCGGGATGTTCGGAGGCATAACATCTCTCATCACGCCTTCCTTCCGAAGGGAAGTAAAGCCGTTGGTCCCCGGTTCATGAGTTGATGGATCGATAGGTAGGTAGGGTCCAGGTGTGGGAGTTGTCTTCCTGGCGTTGGTAGCATTGGTGCTCAGCACGGAAAACAAATCAAGGAAAAAAACTGATTCAAATGGCTAAACTTGGCACAGTTTGTAAAAATTAAATTTGATAAAAGTGTTAGGGTAAACGCTCCTATAGTTGCGGTACGTTAGAAGCGTTAGGTTCCTATAGTTGTGTATGGAGACTCCGTACATAACTATAGGAACCTAACGATTCTAACGTACCGCAACTATAGGAGCGTTTCCCCTATTGAATTATTAAAAAATTGGTAGCACGATATTATATCACAAACATTGGCACACAAGCAATAGAGATTTTCCCTTCAAACATGAGCTGTTCTTTCGAGCTTTGTATTAATTAATAAGTATTAATCAAGTTTTGTAAATATATTCTGGGTAGCGTACCATTCAGGATAACGGCGTTCGGGGTAGTATCATAAATACCATCTAGTAATCAATAAAATTTGTCTGCCAATGCTGCCATGCTTTGATTAGATCTGGATCCGTAGATCCATCATCTTATTTTCCATTTTTCACCATTTGGTCTACCTATTTAGTTCGATATGCGATTACTTTGCATGATGCGATAAACTAACTTGATATTGTTTCAACATTTTTCATAATCAAAGTCAGTAGATTTATTACATAATAAGAAATTAGATGCCAGTGGGTGATAGTGGATAGCGTTACTATCTCAAAATTGGCGAAAATCCATATAAACTAACATACGATTATAGCGCAGACAACATATCAAGAAGACTGGTAACTTTGCCTGAATCCAAGCGACAGACACAGTAGCGCTGCGCTCGAACGAAGGTGGAAGCAACGCATAGAAAAATGAACAAATACACAAACATTTCTTCTGAGGATGGAACCTTCGCTATCCAATTATATAGGAGCATTTACTTTTGAGCGGCAGATGACGCAACTGTGCCTGTCTCCAGGCATGGAAAATCATTTGCATTCATTTCGTGCATTCATTTACATTCATTTGCCCCAAACTTTTTTTATCAACAGAATTCCTCAAAATGATGTATCGAACTTTTGTTGGTTTTGCTATTACCTACAACTTTTGTTAACAACTTAAATCCGTATCTCTTATGCATGACGAACCAGTGCGAACAGAAGCCACTACTGTTTTTCAGTGAATGTATTTTACATTCACTAAAAAAAAGTAACAAGTTCTGTTCGCTCTAATTCGTGATGCATAAGAGATACAGATTTATGTTATGGGCAAAAGTTGTAGCTAATAACAAAACCTACTAAAGCTCTAAACAACATTTTGCTGAATGCTGTTGATGAAAAAAGTTAAAGGCAAATGAATGCAAATGAATGCATGAAATGAATGTAAATGATTTTCCATGCCTGCCTGTCTCATACCCGTTGTATGAGAAAATGCTAGAGGTTCACAAAGCTTCAGAGATGTCATGTCATGATGTACATGCATCTTAATTGTTGATACTGATAAGATCGTGGAAGTTCTAATGTTTTAGAGATTTCAGAGTGTTTGAGGTTTAAAATACCGTCATGGTAGGTTTCTTTGGACACTTTACCGAAGTAAGCTAACTTGAAGTTGAGAAATTTTCCAACCCGAAAAATTCCTAGACCGGACCGGGAATCGAACCCTGCCACCTCTGGGAAGTGCTTAATGATATTAACTTTGAATTTTACACGATCGAGTAAACTGCAGTTCCAATAACAAGTTATGGATATACATTCAATCGATAGGGAGACACAAAAAAGCAATAAATGCTTCAAAAAAGAAAACAATAAATAGGATATTTAGCTAATTTGCGTCCTACTAAACCCGCAACTTAATCTCTCTTTGTAGATAATATAAATGGCTTCCACATTTATGTACCTTTTTATACCACCGCTGGATTTGATAAAGAGTCACAAACTGTTAGAAATCTAGCACTACTTCTTGATTCACAGTTCGTTCTACGAGTTTCAATCCGTTCTAACGCATTGAAACGCCAAAGGTGTTTCTGGCTTTTCACGGTTTTTCTTCATTCTACGAATGAGAAGCGTTTCTTTTGGATTGAGAACAATGAGCGTAAATATTCATACCACGCGCTCGGCTTTGTTTTGTAGCTAATGAGCTAACACATCGCAATAAAAGTATTATTGATTTCCGTACGGTGAAATCATTGATACCCTACTTCATTTTATTCCACAATTTTAAGTGTCCAAGTCCAGTCCAAAGAAGCCCACCACGACGGTACTCAATACTTTCTATGAACTATTTCCAGATTTGTTCAAAATGGAGTCTTCAAATAATTAAAATTTAAACATACAGCCTAAGTGAATCTAATCCACGACAGACCAAATCTGAAATTGATAAATAGCAGATTTTTAGCGATGGGCCCAACCTTAGATCCATAGGCCTACATTAGAGCCATTTCCCCGATATGTTCAATTTTACGATTACAAAATACCAAATTTTTGGAAGAACCTGCCGGAAAGTGAGATTGGGGAAATGGCTTTACGATTTGGCCCATCGCTAAAAATCTGCTATTTATCAATTTTATCTAGATGACAAAGCTACAACATGTCAAAGTTGTCAATTTTGTATGAAAATCGACATGTGCTACTATTATATCGAACAGCACTGTATTGTCGATGGTATAGACAGTGTTTGACAGTTCATTTTCAAGAAAGGTTCTTTCGCAGTTCTTCAGTTCTTTGCGAAACAGTTCAGCAAACGATTCCGAAACATGCTGATGTTTTCTTTTTCTAGATTAGGCATTATGCTTTATGCATGATGATATTTAGGTTTCATACATGTAGGAGCTACCCGTGCCTTATAATTGGTGGCAGCAGACATTTAGGATGCATTTAATACACATTTATAAGGTTTTCACTTTCTTTAACTCTTGTAACGTATCATAACAGCAATTCAAACTACAATAGCTGCTCACGAGTTACCAATAAAAAAAGTTCACGAGTCAT